TAGGACCCATGACCCAACTCGATGGGACACAGACTCCGGTTAATTTTTTTTTTTTGATTCTTCTCCAAGACATGGTTTCCTTAAAATTAATCATGGTGCTGATGCACAGGACATCCAGCAGACAGAATTCCCAGAGTCTTTGTTCCCCTTCCTTCCCTCCCTGCCCCCTCCCCAGCATCTCGCTCCAGCTGAGCCCCTGTCAGGAGGCTGCTCTGCTAAGCAGCCCGTCACATGTTCCATTACAATCATGTTTTATTATAGCTTTCAAAAGATGACCTCTCATTTCGCACACTCGTGTTTATAGAGGACTTCTGGCATTCTGAAAGGAAACAGATAGCGGAGTCGCCAAACCCTTTATTTGCTTCGGCTGATAACTGCTCTGGCCAGGGACGAGCGCGGCGGTGATTACAAGATGTAATTTACTACAAAAGACAGTTAATATTACTTACAAACCTGTCATCAGTTCTGGGGAAATCAGAGCCGAAACAAGGAATAGGACAAATCTGAATCCACCTAAATATCTCGGCCTGATGGAATTACAAGTTTATAGATTTACCATTTAAGAAACAGCCCCTTATGAAACATCCGTCCTCGCAGACAGACAATATAAGTAACGAGCAAGATTATATCCTTTTATGTGGATCAAGGACACAGACAGTGTAAGAAAGAAAGGGGGGAAAAACACCCCTTTGGGGGAACTTAAACGCTGCCCTTGTGAATTACACCTGGGGCTATTAACTGGGGAATTAGATCTATGAAAAAGCTTCTAATATGACTAAACAAAGTCCCTCCGGTAATGCTCTGAATCAGAAAAACGTGTGAAAATATAGCCTCTTAAATGTGATTATAGTCAGAGCTGTAGTTACTCCTTGAGAAAGGGCATTGAAAACAGAGGAATGAAAGGGGGAAAAAATGTTTTAAAACTTTTGTGTCAGACCAGAAATTATAGAGTAGCAACAGCTTAGGGATTTAAATAACCCCTTTTGCCCAATTCTGAAGCCTTTGTGCTTTAAATTGAAGAAAAGAAAGGAATTAGAGATCCAATTTAGGACTTTTTTTTTTTTTTAAAGATCATGAAATGGAAGAGTCGTTTTGGCTGAGTGACTGATTGGGCCAGTGTGA